TACCGTTCCCACTTTGTTCATGGGTTCATGTATTCGGGCGTCTGGTGCCTTGGAGAGAAAGTCCGTGCGATAGAAAAATTGCTAACTTGATAAAACAGGCGCCACTTTTCTGAAAAGTAAATGCCAGTTCTTTTATGTGTCTGACTTGTTTGTTTTTTTGCCCGGCAGTTTCTGTCCAGTTTTATGCCACTGTATCGACTTGTTGTTTTATAACTTAGAATCTAGTAAGCGCCTGTAGTTTTGTAGTCTTGCGCTGACGGTTGAATAAAAAAGTCTTATCGTAAATAGCTTTATACAGGAGACTAGAAAACACGAACATTTTGAAATTGAAATTTGTTAGATTCTAGGAAGCGTCTCGGTTTATTTGAGAATCATTCCTAGGGCCAGATGCTTACTGTTCTGTAGACTTCACCCATGTGGTTTGTGTTATGGGCTAGGTGATCCAGTGTGTTGTCATAGACTGTGCTTTCACGTATCTGACATAATATGTATGCTCATTAAATACCCGGGGGTGCCACTTTGCCTCAGATTTCTGGAACGCTATTGATATGGGCTGTTTCCTTTTTGATAAATAAATCCCTTTTTAGGTGCTTTAAGATAAACTTTTTACATAGGTGCATTGTGAAAACAGTCGACTCTGCTCTTGTTCAACTCGCTTGAGTTGATCTTCGGTTAAGTTGATCTTTTTCTCCGAGCCCCAGCACCTCTTCTTCTATATATAGATCTCAACGCTTGAGTTGAACTTCGGATGAGTTGATCTATTCTTCACTCCCCCGACGACATCAATTCGTCCGTACTCGACTGTCTTATTTTTTTTTGCAAACTGCACCCTGCAAGTTCTGAAAAGGTGATGAGATCTCAGTGGCACCCTCGGTCGTTGTGCCGGGATAGTTTCTCTGGAAGCTGTACTGCCATCATGACAAATTATGTATCCCCTATACTACAGCGTGTTTTTGAGTACACTGCAGTGTGATGCTGTCTTTTTGTCTTTTTTTGGTCTTTTTTTATATCACAGTTTTTGCAATTTGTTGTGTATAATTTTATGAAAATTTTTTTGTCGTGAGAAGCAGTTCTTGCCTTGGTTCACTCTGTCTATTTCCAAGCCTCTCTGTTCACGAGAGGTGTCTTAGTCTTAGTCGAAGGGTCTGGCTTTGAACTTCCCGAGAATTTCTTATTGTGAGTTTGATTCACAGCTGCGTCGGTTTGGACGTTATATCCTTCGCAAAAGTACTTTGTCCTACTTTTTTCCTCAGTTCACCCAGCTCCCAATAGGTTTCCGGCAATCAGCAGAAACAAAATATTATGAAAATGTAGTGGCATGTGCCCACATGATATTTTAAAACGTGTCAGGGCTGGCAAAGCTCCTTTTTTTTTCTTTCAAACATCTGTCGTCTTTATCTCTCCTCTTTCTCTTCTTTTGTGTGTTACACTCTAGTAACACCTCTAATCTTCGGCACTTATATGACCTATTTGTGATGCAAGTGTCGGAGCACTCTTACTAATATTGAAAAACTAAGAAAGGGAGGTAATTGTGAAGTTGTTTGAGCCTTCAGGGCGATACATGACCGTCGATAAGCTCCTTAACTTTTTGAAACTTTGGCTCTCTGTCCTTCTCTTCTGTCATCATAGACCCATTCCACAAATTCGGATGACAGGATAGGCTTTCTGCATGCTTTCTTGAACTCTTCTATATTTGTCCATTGATATTTTGTGTGGAAATAAACACATTGCACTGTTTGTTGAACCTGCTGGTTGTGATTGCACGGCACCAGTTACTTCCCCTTGCCTATGATTGGTTTCATTTAAAGTTAAAGTATTCCTTGCGAAGTAAAGTGGATGCCGCAAGCCCTCCCCGCTGTGATAATCTTTTAGTGGTGGACATATCGGGCCGTGGCCTCGTTACGGTCAGCTGGTGCTCTCCTCAGTTTCATTTTGTTCTCTGTCAGGTCGCTGTTTGTTTAGGGTGCAGCTGCAGAAGGCAGAAACACCTTTGTATTCCAGTCGTTTGATTACGGATGGTTGGTGGGTGCTGATTCGTGAGCCTGCTCGCTCCCTTACACTACTTTATTTCAGCGTTGCTGTTGATCTGTTCGGTGTGGTTTGCTCCTTCTTTCCCATCAAACATCAATCATCCTGATCTCTTCTCCTTCTTTTTTGTGTTTGTTACTCTCTTGTAACACCTCTAATTTTCGGCACTTAAATGACTTTACTGTGTTGCAAGTGCGGTAAAACTCTTACTAAAACTAAACTGATCTGTTCTGTTCCTGATTCATTGTGGCGGTATTGTATAGCCACGCTGTCTCGCTGTTTTGTCAACTTAGTCTGACTTGCTTGGCTGCTACCAGATCTTTCCTTTGTCTGCATAATGCGATCTTATTAAGGCTTTTGATATTGAGTCTGTGCCCCAACGACTGTTGGTCAGGCCTGGTGAAAAACACGATGGGTTGATAAAGGCCGCATGTGTATGAAGAAAAGTATAGGGTGAGATCGTGGTGGCTCATGAGTCAGTCAGATTGTTTGTGCGTCTGACGGGTAAAGCACGCACTGTTGCTGGCATTGACAGATGAAGGTGAAGGTCAGGAATCCTCAGCCCTGCCCAAGAGAAGAATGCAAAATAGAGGCTGGAAATGAGGCCACGGTTCTGGTCAGAGAAGAGACACAGATGTCGGTCTATAAATAGGAATCATATGCCCGGCTTATCATGGTAGAGGGTTTGAGGGTGCAGGCTTGGACGCCTTTATTTGTTTGGTGTGATACAAGTGTAACTGTTACTTCTTCCTTTCCTTTATTCCTGTTACCTCCCCCTACCCCTCCCCCTCCCCTCCCCCCTCTTTTCCAAGAACACACTCACAAAGTTTTAGTAATCCACCTGTGTAAAGTGTTATATTAATATAATGTATCATCAAAATATCTTAATGTAATCTATCACTATCAAAAGTAGCCAACTTCATAGTTGTAATAATACTGAGAATTTGTTTATCAACAATTCTATAGCATAAAAAACTTTCAGCGTTGGCCGATCAGCGTATATATGTGTGTGTCCCTTTTTCACTGATATTATTGTGGAATATCCCCATTCCAAATCTGGTTCACTCTGGTGCAGGCGCACTCTGGTGCGCTCTGGATTTTGAGCAGAAGTGAGGCTTCTACGCAGATTTGTGGTTGAAGTGTATCAGAAAATAATAGATTTTGAAGCGCGTAGAGCTTGCTGTTGAGCGGGGATTTGCGCTATACAAATGCTGTCTATTATAATTATTATTATTATAATTATTATTATTATTATAGATTTCTGATGTCCAACATAATGCTTCATCTGTCTGACATGGTCATCGAGTGGATTTTCTAGCACTGTTCATTCAGTACTTTTGCTTCTTTATGTGAAAATGTTTTGTTTTTGTTATTTTTTACCCCCAACTTAAAAAAAAAAAAAAGTTCTTTGTTCAAGTTGTTCACCCTTTGAAGCTTGTCTCTGGCATTTCGTTCATGTCCACTATCTGTCGTTGGGGGCTGTAGGGTTTGGCTTTTTGTGCAGTGCCATTCGAATGCTTCATTTCCTTATGTAATCTTTGCTATCATGGGAAAAGGACAAAGAGTGAAAATCAAATGTGAGGCAGCATGGTGGAATTAGGCTCTCGTCAAAATAATCAAAGTGAAGAAACGTGCCTTTTTCCGCAGGTTTGTGAATTTTTATCAAATTTTTGTTTTTTGGCTCAATACCTTTCATACCCATTAAAGAACTCATTTCTGTGTGGATTTTTCTGAAAAACGTTGATCAAAGGCACAAAAAAAGTAAATTTTCGGTTACCATGGACTCTTTAGCTTAGGAAATAACTAATCTTTGACGGCCATTTTCTCACTAATTTAACCTCTGAAAACAGGTGACCCCCACCTACTTCTTTCGCAAATATCTCGACTTGTATTCAAGATAAATGGATATTTTTTTCCATCCAAATAAAGACAATTGAACAAGCTTTAAGATGATACCAATAACTCTACATGCCCAAAAATTGACGAGAGCCTGATTCCACCACGCTGCCTCACAAATACTGTTGGTTTTTTTTTTTTCTTTCAAATTGTCACCTTTACGACTTATTTCTGTGTGCCACCTTGCATTGCCTGTTTTCTGAGCTATGAGCTCATAATGCTGCAACAGCACTTGGCTGTGAGTGTTTGGAAGAGCAGGGGGGGAGGTGGGTGGTCTCCGTAGATATTTATCTATGTATACCATAATTCTTGTACGTATATTCCATGCTGTAAACCACTGAGGAGTATCTGAGTGTGTCTGTTTGAAACAACAGCACGTGTGAGTGTGTGTGAATGCTGGACTATGTTTACGGCTGTGCGCATTTTCTGTGAAATACCAAAGCTGGCATGTCCTTTGGGAGTGTTTGTTGAAAGAGCGGGAAATAAATCAAACTCGTTCATATCTTCATTTGTATCTTTACCCGTTATTTGGCTAATGATTTTGAACATGTGTATATTTTGAAACTTGCTTTAATTTACTTTCGCTTTTTGTTTTTTAGAATGGGG